AAGTGCTGAAAACGCTTCATTTTTTAATTTTTACTATTGAACGACGAGAAATTACTCAAATCGTATGAATTTTTACTGTGCTAAATTGTAATTTTTTCTTACAATTTGAAACTTTAGTTTATACTCTCGCGCCTCCTACATTTTACTCGAGGAAACAGCAGAAATTACTATGTTCATTAGTAAAAACTCCAGCGGACGACGAGAGCGTCGATTGCTTTCAATTCTTGGAATCTCCTCCCTCCGTCGATTAATTCTAAAAAATTCAATCCTTCCTCTCCCCCCCCCCTCCTCTTTATCAGAATGAATATACGTGGAGCAAAGTTATTGATAATAATTTTCAAGGATGATAAAGAAGATTAAATATGGTTTTTCACTTCGGTTATTCAAAAAATCCCCCTCTCTCTCGTCCTCTTCCGCGAATATTCATTTTCAAAAGGGGAGAGAAAATTTTTTTAACCGACGAAGTAAAAATTCATGTTTATCCTACTAAATTTGACTCGTGTCAAGTGAAAATTCAACTTTTATGCTACCATTTTCTACTGTACCAATTCTCAATTTCCACTGTGTTCAACAGTAATTTTTCCAACGGACTCCATCACGTTTTAATTTCGTCAGCCGTATTTTTCCATCCAGCACGTCGTTGTTTATTATTTGTTCCCAAAATTACTGTTCCCACACGAAAAAATAATTTAAAAAATAAAATAATAAAATTTAGTAATAAAATAACACAATCACGCAAGCATTCTCCTTCGCTAATTAACAATCAAACTCCTCAGAACGCCTCGACACCAATACAACAACATAAATGGTCAATAATAAATCCTCAATTCTCTCCGAACACCTCCGTAAAAATCCTCTCCAAACCGAATAACAAAAATCTAAAAAGGCATTACCAGAAATTTCATTAAAAATTTGATGCGCTGTGTAAAGCCCACATTAAAGAGCTCGTGAGATAAGGACAGAAATACCTTTTCTAGTCGCTGTGAAATAATTTTATGGACTGGCGAGAGGCGGTTGTCGGTGCGGGCGAAAAAGAGAATAGAATTCGAAATAGTGAGTTCTCCCTTCGCCAGTGGTAAACGAAGGGAAAAACTCATTTCTTCAGCTAGCCCCGAGCCGGCGGACTCTCCGACCATTGTGCGAGAGAGAGGGAGAGTGAGAGAGTGAGAGAAAGAGCGAATTAAGTATCCGGGAATGAGAGTGAAACGAAGAGGGGGCCAACTATTGTGCAGTCCGCGGTAAAAGCAGCCGCCCCCTCTGCGGGTGGCCCCTTTGGCTTTCTCCCTCGTGGAATCCCTCCACCTCCTTCATATATATTTTTACCCCCCTCCCCCCTCCCTCCCTCCCTCCCCCCCCCCTCGCCTCCTCCTCCTCAGCTCTCATCCAGGCACTCTCAATTCGTTTGGAGAAATAAAACGCTCGCACCGGCTGCGCACCTTTTTCCTTCGGTTATTTTAACCATTTTTTTTTCTCAACATTCTTTTTCCAACCCTTTCTCTTTGCCCTCTGTCTCTTTTTACACGCCTTTTTGCCGTTTCCTAGGCGAGTGCACAGAGGATGTGTGTATGAATTAAATTCCCTTTAACTTTGCGCTTTAGTTTATTATTAAATCCAGGGAACAGCTGACACGTATAGCACTCGGGAGTAGTGTAATTGGGAGGGTGAATGATAAAAGGGAAATTTTTTTTGGGGAATTTATCGCTTTGGAATTGTTTTTGGGGATTATTGGGGCTTATTTGGAGGAATTTAAGGGTTATTTGAGTTCAAAGTAAATTTCACAATGAAAGTTAGGAAAAAATTGATATGAAGTTTAATAAATTCGATTTTTTAATTTTCACAACGAATAGATAAGCGCGCGCACAGCTCTAGTAATTATAAAATATAATATTGTGTGAAAATAATATACAATCCAAATAAATAATGATAATCTCTCTCGTTTTCCCTAAAATAACCCGAAAATCGACAAAATCCCCGGGAAAATACCACACGGAGAGAAATGTTCAGTTAAAAATTACGGAACGCTCCGGAAAAATTCCGTGACAGTTCCGTGAAATTTCCTACAGACCTAATTTCTATTGAATATTTCTCTCCGTGCAGTCTTAATCTCGAAATTCCCCCGCATCAACCCAAAAATATGATTTCTCCTCCCACAAAGTGAATAATAAACTAGAGGACCAGAGACTCGTCGCCATAAACCTCCAAACCCCGCAAAAAAACCCCGGGAATTAGCAACCGAGATCTGACCTGTGACTCAGCTGGACTAAAAATACGCCCACCCATAAACCGAGGGCAGAAAAAAATATTCGAAAAAAAAATTGCGGAAAAAAAAATCAGCGTTAGCACCGCAGCATCATTGTCCCAAGAGAAAAATAATCCTTGGTCCCCAAAGCCCATTGCGAATCAGGTCCAGTCAACGCGCTATTTCCCCCCCCCCCCCCCCCCCCCCCCCCCCCCCCCCCCCCCCCCCCCCCCCCCCCCCC